GCCTGCTGCTGTGACTTTGTGCTGTTATTACAAAGTTCAGCTTTGTATCTACAGGTTTTGTTACATGTTGCTAATAAGGCTGCCTGTAACTTGGCATCTGCTGTGATGCTGAAGAGGCTCTTGTGACTCAGCTCGTGAGGTTCCGTGGGGATGTTTGTTTCGTGAAGGGGTTTTGTTTTGTTGTTGGTGTTTTCCGCTGGGCAAGACACTCCCTATTTCTTATGTTGATCTGGTGTTGATTTCATTAAGGGGTTTCCAGGTGATCCAATGAATTTTTCCAGTGACTTCCAGAAAGAAGCTGGCCCTTCTCAATCCTTTTGTGCATCACCAAGCTGCCCTACTTTCAGACTTTTTCAGCCTCCTCACAGACAAAACAGCAGGAGTCTTTGGGAGTAAAACCATAGACACTTTTGAGCTGAGATAGGCCTACTGGAGCTTAAATTGGTAAGGTTATTTGGAAGGAGAAAATAAATAGTATTTAAGCCTTCACATGGTGAACAAACACCAAATTAATTCGGGCCACCGGTTCTTGAAATACTGTCCTCCTACCTGTAGCACCTTGATGGAGGTACTAGAAGATGCTTATGATTTGATTACCAATTGCCGTTGTGCTTACTGACTTACAGAGGATGAGAGAAGGTTAGGTTACAGATCTACATTAAAAGTGCTTTCTGCATCTAGGTCTCCTCTCAGCTATCTTCAGAGGCACCAGTAGAAGCCCAAGCTATTAAACCTTCTCCTGCTGTTATTATAAAGCCTCCCGTGTTGTTCAGACAGCCCACCCCTGTGGCAAGACCAAGTGCCCCACTGACAAGGCCTGCTACACCTATGACAAGGCCACATGCTCCAGTTTCTTCTCCAGCTACAACCCCAAGTCTTGGTCACTCTTTAAAACCATCACCTTCTGCTGTGGAACAGGAACGCTGGGATGAGGATTCTTTCCATGGACTCTGGGACACAAATGAGGATAAAGGAGCAAATATGGAGTACGAGATGTGTAAACAGGAATCAATGATGCCCCCGCCCGTCTCCTCGCCTGTGAAAGTTCCTGCCGTTCACAGCTCCGTTCCATCGGCTGTACCAGTGTCCCTTCCTCCAGTTATTCCACCGGTTCCTAAAGCACCTGTAATTCAGCAAACTGTGGATTATGGCCATGGGCGAGGTGGGTATTGCTTATATCTGTTTGATCTGTTCCAGAGAGCTCATTAGTCCTCCTAGTTTCTTTTTAAAGCAGTGAGCCATGCAGAGCATGCTGTAGGTGTTTTGCAGTTGACCTGTAGGCTGCGTACATAGTGATCTAATGCTAAGCAATGCAGTTTTAAGGAGTCTGTAACCTCCAGCCTTGAGTTTAATGTTTTCTTCAATGCTATGATAATGAGCTGTTTCATGTGAACTGAATGGTGTATAGGCGTGTCTCCTTCTAATAGACACCAACTGATGTGATCACATCAGTGTGTTATATTTAGATGGATATTAATGCTTTCCCTTATTCCCTTTGTAGCTGAGTATGGAAATAACTGTGCTAGAAGGTACTTTGGATTGTTCTTAGGTGTGACTTAGTAACTTAAAGCAGAATGGGACTGGTGTTTGCATTATTGATATACTGCTAAATGGGTGTGAGGTACCTTCTAGACAGGGAGGGAGACAGAGTCCTAGTTCTGAAGGGCATGTACCTAAACAGGCATTTTAATGCATAAACAGTGAAAGGCTTTGATTTATTGAGCTTATCAAAGCTAAAATTCAACATTAGTCTTTTTAATAGAATTCATTTCCCTCAGTCTTAGTTTTTAACAGGAGTGAAATTGTGCCGTAAAGAAGTTATGAAATTGTGCATTGTTGTTTAAAGAGCATTTTTTCTCTCTCTAAGGTGCCATAACATGCATCAAAGCCATGTCAGTTCCATTAAGTAGATGTTTTGCTAAAAGCTCTTAGAAAAAAAATGTCACTGTTAGGAATCTAAAGTGAGCGTTTCAGTTAATGTTCTTGATGTTCCAGTAGTTCTATGAGTTATTGAAACTTTCAGGGCATTTTAATGTTTATAATCTTCTGACCATGCATGCAGCCTGAACTCATCTGAAAAGACAGACATCCCATTCGTAAGATAAAGTGGTCCGGCTACTTACACACAGAAACCCACTTCAGATGTTCATAACCATGGTGTTGTGTATTTCTGTATAGCTCGTTTTGCATTATCCATTAAAAGAAGTTTTGTTAAGTTATTCCAGTCACTTTTAATGCCGTCAACTGATTGTTTTTCGTGACAGAGGAAAGGAAATGGAGGCGGGGTATTTTAAGACCTTAATTATTTTTTGATTATTTTTAACCAGATATAACCACCAGTAAAGTGGAACAGATTCCATATGGGGAGAGGGTAACCTTGCGTCCGGAACCTCTACCAGAGAGGCAAACATTTCAAAAAGGTAGGGAGCGCTTGGCTAGCTCTCAGACAGTTAGTTAGCTCTTAAGAAAAGTTGTAAGGCACTGGAAGTGTATTTTAAACTAAGTAACTCTTGGTTAAGCTAGAAACACTTTATTTTCTTCAGAGGCCCTTAAGAATTACAGTTGATATTGTCAAGAGGAGTAATGCAGTCAATGACCTAGCCATGTTAAAAATTCAGCTTTGTAGCTTTAAGTAGGATTTCATGGTATGGTTGTCTGCTACAGTTTGGAAAAGAGATTCAGTGGCTGATTAAGTCCATTCTAGCACTCACATCATACATTTCTGTATACTTTTGGTGCACTTGTTTGTTGCTTTTCCTTCAAAAATAATTTAAAAAATCAGGGTATGTTTTAGTAGTTTGGGTTTCCTTGGGTTTTGCCTTTCAGAGCACCCAGGTCGTTACAACAGAGAGAGAGATCGTGAGCCGTATTTTGAGCGACAAGGTAATTCCAACACAGATCACCGAGATTTCAAGAGAGACCGGGAATTGCACAGAGACCGTGGTTCTGTGGACTACGAACGAGACAGATTCGAAAAAGAGCGGCATCCCCGAGATGATAGGTATGTGGTTTTGGAACACTACTGAAATCAATAGGACTCGGGCTGTGTTTGGTATCAGGCTGTCCATTTTGCCTGTGAGCTACATGTTTAATTTCTCTCTGGAATCCATAGTAGAAATTCTAGAAATATGCAAAATACTCTTTTGGCAGGGTTCTTCCTACTACACCTTCAAGGACTCAGTCTTATCGTGACAAGAAAGACCATCCCTCCTCCAGGCGGGGTGGTTTTGAAAGACCACCTTATGAACGGAAGACAGATCGTCCAGCATATGATCATGGGCCTACCATGTTTGGAGGTAGAGTTTCTAAATGTTGAAGTCATGCTAGAGTATTATGGAAAATGTGGACTCACAGAGGTGAAGATTAAGTAGGAAAAGATTAATTGATTTGCAGTATTTCTTTGTTCAAAAGATGTAATTCCGCAAAATTTATTTGTGCAGTGTCATGTTTTGTTTCTCAGTGGTGATGAGATCAGGAATAGCAACAGTTTTATACTCCGCTAAAAAATGTCTTTGATTGCAATAGGTTCAAGACTGTAATTCCACAAAATTTATTTGTGCAGTGCCATGTTGTTTTGTTTCTCAGTGGCGATGAGATCAGGAATAGCAACAGTTTTATACTCCGCTAAAAAATGTCTTTGATTGCAATAGGTTCAAGACTAGAAATGTGAATTATTTTGGTGACAAATACGTGAATTTATCCTAAAATATTGAAGGTTTGTTGAAATCATCTCAGCTGGGTATGAACATCTTAATTTTTTTATTTTACTGAACTAAGAAAATTCTTCTGTCCAAACACTGGAATTTGAAGGTGATCGTAGAAATTACCCCGAGGAAAGGATTCCTATTTCTGCTCCATCAATGCCCCGTCAGCCACCACCTGCTCCACGAGTGGAAAGGAAGCCAGAATCTAAAAATGTAGATGATATTTTGAAGCCACCAGGACGAGATAGCAGGCCAGAGAGGGTGAGTGTGCATTCTAAAAGCAGCAATCAGTTTCTTCAAGGTCTGTATTCAGTTGAAACGGTCATGAGTGTAGTTGTTGAGAACAAGCTTACATTTGAGGAAGCTCTGGAAATTCTCTTGGTTCCTTTGGAAATGCCTATAGTGTTGAAGCATCACTATTAGGAGTCCATAGGAGATATAAACTTCTGGGGAATAATAAGATTAAATTCCTATTATTGGGTAATGTTAATGTAGTTTAGACTCTTCTGAGATCTTTACTTGGGTTTTTGATGTGTCAGAGGAAAGACTTGGCTTTGCACAGACTCAGAGATTTGGCACTGCACGATATAAAAATAAGAAAAAACCAAGATTTAGGCTATAAAGCCTTTAGACAAGTTTCATTCAGTTACTTTTATCTGAACCAGATCTGTAACATCTTATGCAGCATAAACTACTGAGATTATTAACATCATATACTCTTATTCCGTGGAACTACCACCATTCCTCACAACCTGGTTTGTAAAAGGCAGTGGGGCAGAATACTGGCTTTGCTTGATGATATGCAAAAGTGTGAGCATATAATTTTCTAGAAGAAAATTTTTGCAGACGAGATTCTGTTAAATGTAGAACAGTATCATATCAGAATTCTTCTATGATTTTTGTTTCAGATTGTAATCATCATGAGAGGGCTGCCTGGCAGTGGAAAGACACATGTAGCAAAACTCATCAGGGTATGTAAACAACAGCTCGCTGAGTAGTGCTGCTTGTCTTTTACATGCACCTCCTCTTTTCTTTCAGTTTGTCTGTAATTTCAGCCTGTTTTTATTTCAAGTTCTATGTTTTCATATGGCATGTGAATCCCTTCCACATGAGGGATACTGCTTGCTTCCTGTGTTGCACATAGAGCTGAGAACAGCTGTTTACCAGAAGTGTTTTGAAGATCATCTGTAGCAGAATGGAATTTTTACATCAAGAGTATATGTTTTCTTTCTGCTTTCTTCCCAGGATAAGGAAGTAGAGTGTGGAGGACCTGCACCAAGAGTGCTCAGCCTGGATGACTATTTTATCACTGAAGTGGAAAAAGAAGAGAGAGATCCAGATACAGGGAAAAAAGTGAAAAAGAAGGTACTTTTAATTCAGTTCCTTACCTTGACAAAGAAAACATTTCGGAACAATACAGTGGCACTCAGAATTTCCATCTGTGGCTGTGGAAGAGAGCAGAGGTCTATGGGCTGTTTCTCAAAACAAGTCAGTATAACTCAAGGGCAGAATGGGCAAATTCTTAAAAGTTGACCTGGAAGATTCTTTTCTTATACCACTGTACTTCATGGTCTTGACATTCAGCAGTTGAACATGAGCAATTTAATAGTTGTCCTCTTGCTTAAATGCTTTTGTCCATGTTAAAGGTGATGGAGTATGAATATGAAGCTGATATGGAAGAAACTTACCGTACCAGCATGTTTAAAACTTTCAAAAAGACCTTGGATGATGGCTTCTTCCCCTTCATTATCCTTGATGCTATCAATGATAGAGTGCGACATTTTGAACAGTTTTGGAGTGCTGCAAAAACCAAGGGTTTTGAGGTAATGGAGCCTAAAAAGCATTTGAACTTGCTAGCACCCATATGCTGGTATTTCTAAACATTTGAATGCAAAGTCCCTCCCACGTTCAGGAAAAATGCTGTGGTCTACAGTTAAAAATTTACCTTTCTTAGAATGTACAACTGCAGAGTTTATCACCAGGTAGAAAAAGGAGCTCTAAAAAAATTATTTACAGTATTTAATACTGTCTTTCTCTTTCTAGGTGTACTTAGCTGAAATGAGTGCAGATAACCAAACGTGTTCCAAGAGGAATATTCATGGACGCAAGCTAAAGGATATCAGCAGGGTAACTGTATATATCTGGAGTCACGGGTTTCATTGTGCTTTCATAGAATCACAGAATGGTAGGGATTGGAAGGGACATCTGAAGATTGCCTGGTCCAACCCCCCTGCTAGAGCAGGATCACCCAGAGAAGGTCACACAGGGGCCTGTCCAGGCGGGTTTTGAATGTCTCCAGAGAAGGAGACTCCACAACCTCTCCGGGCAGCCTGGTCCAGTCCCTGCTGTTGTTGGAAAACTATTGACCTCTTTTAGTCAGCATAATGCTTATGCTTTTCCTCTAAGAAGAGCTGGTAGTTATTTCATGGGATTGATTTAAATTCCTTAAATACAGATACATCTTGTTCATGGTCAAAACCAGATTTTCCATTGAATTTGTTACATTTTTCAAGGTGCTTCATTTTTGTTTGGTCTTTTGTTAGATGTCTGAGCACTGGGAGGCAGCACCACGTCACATGATGCGTCTGGACATTCGTTCTCTATTGCAGGATGCTGCTATCGAAGAGGTGAGAGTTTCTGTGCTTTTTAAAATTACAAATTATGTGGATGTCCCTATACTGAAAATATGGGGCAGAGAAAGGTATGATGACAACAAGGCAGTTAACTTGACACTGTAGAAAGCCATAACCACTGTGTCAGACAAGTGTATTCCATTTTTCTTATCAGTTACCCAAACATGAAGGTACATGTTACTTTTTATCACCTTTATAGAGCCCAGACTTGGGTATCTTTGAGGAAGAGTTGAAGCCGCTTTGCTCTTCAGCAACTGTTGACTAACAGTTAAAAGATCTAAGGAGGAACTAGTTTGACAAAATAAATAAGTAAATAAACAAATTTGAACTCCTCTTGGTCCCTGCTTTGAGAAATACAGAGGATGAAGAAATAAACAAACATGTAGCAGAAGATAATACTTGCTGTAGAAGTATGGTACCTTTTTATTCCATTTGCAATTTGATGTGCACCTTCAGTGTGCCAGCTTTCTGTATTGTTGCATTCTTCTTCAGTAGATGTTTCAGGAGCTCTAGGAATAAATTAGCATGTTAATTGAATGGTCATCGTGAAGCTGCATGTTGCTGTCTGAACAGCTCTTGCCATGGCCGTTAAAAGTAGTGAACTGCTGAAGTAGGAAGAGAGTTTACTCTTTGCAGTTTGGCATGAGGTCAGCCCGTTATTTTTGAATCTACAAATTCTTTGTATCAGGAAATAGTAATCTTTAAGAGGACAGCAGAAGACTCAGCTCTCAAGCAGACTCAAAGAAGGGCAGATTTGGGAATTATTCTCTGTGCCTCAAGGTTTTACTAATGGTATGAAGAACTGTACATACTTGGAGAATTTTAGGTACTCTGCAGTATACACATAGCATCATAAAATAGAGTTGGAAGGGACCTTAAAGCTCATCCAGTCCAAGCCCCCTAGCATGGGCTGGAACACCTCCACCAGCCCAGGTTACCCAACGCCCCGTCCAGCCTGACCTTGAACACTTCCAGGGAGGGGGCATCCACAGCTTCCCTGGGCAACCTGTGCCGGTGTCTCACCACCCTCACAGTACAGAATTTCTTCCTAATATCCAGTCTAAATCTACCCTCTTCCAGTTTAAAACCATTCCTCCTCGTTCTGTTGCTACCTGCCCTCGTAAAAAGTCCCTCCTGAGCTTTCTTGTAGGCCCGTTCAGGAACTGAAAAGACTGCAGTAAGGTCTCCCTGGAGCCTTCTCTTCTCCAGGCTGAACAACCCCAGCTCTCTCAGCCAGTCCTCATAGGAGAGGTGCTCCAGCCCTCTGATCAGCTTCGTGGCCTCCTCTGGACCCACTCCAAAAGGCCCATGTCCTTCTTGTGTTAGGGGTCCAACTTGGACTTGTGCACCTTCAGGTTCTTTAGGTGGTCTCTAACCTGATCTTTGCCTACAATGGGTGGATCTTCCTTCTCCCAGTCCCTGCCTTTGCCTTCTGTAACTTGGACGGTGTGGCTAGAGCCCTTGCCAGTGAAGACTGAGGGAAGGAAGTTATTGAGCACCTCAGCATTCTCTGTATGCCTCGTGATCAGTTCTCTGTTTTCCTTCCAGAGAGGACCTACATCTTCCCTAACCTTCCTTTTGTCGCTGATGTCGAAATTCTTCTTGTTCCCCTTAATGTCCTTGGCCAGACTTAATTCCACCTGCGCTGTAGCTTTCCTAACCTGATCTCTGGCTGCTCAGTCTTCTTTGTAATCCTCCCAGCTATCCTGTCCTCGCTTCCACTCCCTGTAGATTTTCCTTTTGTGCCCAAGTGAGTCCAGGAGCTCCTTGTTCATCCACGCAGGCCTTCTGGCATTCTTGCCTGCCTTCCTCCTCCTTGGGATGCACTGCTCCTGGACTCTGAGGAGATGGTCCTTCAATATTGAACAGTTTTCTTGGGCCCCTCTTCCCTCCAGGGCTTTATCCCACGACACCTTGCCTAGCAGATCCCTAAAGAAGTTAAAGTCTGCTCTCCTGAAGTCCGGAGCAGTGAGCTTGCTGCACGACCTCTGATGTCTGAAGGATCTTGAGCTCTACAATTTCGTTGTCACTGCAGCCAAGGTTGCCCTTGACCTTCACGTTGCTCACCAGCCCCTCCTTGTTGGTGAGGATGAGGTCCAGCATAGCACCCTTTCTCATGGGTTCCTCTCCCACTTAGAGGAGGAAGTTATCATTGATGCATTCGAGGAACCTCTTTGATTGCTGGTGCCCTGCTGTGTTATCCTTCCAACAAATGTCAGGGTGGTTGAAATCCCCCATGGGGACCAGGGCTTGTGAACAGAGAGCTGCTCCTGTCTGTTTATAGAGGGCCTCATCCACTCCATCTTCCTGGTCTGGTGACCTGTAGCAGACCTCCCCCCTCACCATGATGTCACCTTTGAATGTTACATGAACGCCTGTTAGAGATGTGGACCCCAGAAAGTGTTCTGTTAGGTGGGCAGGGTTGGATGTATGTCTTAAAGCGTCTGTTTTCTTTATTATGTTAATCTCTGTGGCTATTATTCTTCACTGTGTTACTTAAATATACAAAAGATAAAGGCCTGCTGGAGATGTTCTATGCGGAGCGTGCCATTCACATGGTGTGTGAATGGAAAGTTTAAAGTTGTCTTCTGAGATTTCAAGTTTTGAAACGTGATTGTGTGGGAAACAAGAGAAGCATCTTACTGTTGCAGATACTGGTATCACAAAGAATGCACGTGAAAGAGGAGAATACATAATTGCTACTTTCCCACATAGTTTGTCACTGTAGCTAGAAGGGAGCCTGCTTCTGAGGGAAGCCAAAATGGAGCCAGCATTCATATATAGTGCATCATCACACTTTCCAAGACAAATGCTTTCTTTCCTCTTCTATTTGAACTTGGTATCTTCTACTTACTCTGCTAAAAAAATAATACTTAGAAGTCAAGCAGTGCCTTGTAAGTCTGTGCTTATCATTTGAAACAGGTGGAGATGGAGGATTTTGATGCAAATATTGAAGACCAGAAAGAAGAAGCCAAGAAGGATGCAGCAGAGGAGGAAGAAAGTGAACTGGTAGGAGACACATCAGCCATCTCTAACAAAATGAATGTTAATGTGTCTGAGGGAGAATCTCAGTCTTACAAATGCCAACCCATTGCCACTCTTAGCAGTGCAATCTTAATACACACATTTCTAGCTGTTTGTTTCTTAAACATTTCTAGGAGAACTTCAATGCTAAATCACATTAACCATAACTGAATTTTTAAAGAATCTGTGAGTATGTGCCACAAACAGCAGTGGAGTGTGGCAACGTGCCTCTTACAGATGTTTATAAATTGCAGTACACTATAGTGCTATCTTCCAGATTATCTAAGACTTACACTAAGTGGAGGGATGGGGAAGAATGGGCAAAGATTAATTTGGCTTATTGCCTTTCATGTGTCTAAAGAGCTCTTCTCGACTGTCACAGTATATGACAACAGTTATGAAGAAAAATGCTTTCTCTGCCAAGGCTCGCTGACTCTGTGTGTCAGTAGGTATTTTCAAAATGAGGGGTTAGGTCTCTTGGATAAATGAAGGTTAGAGAATTGCCCTGAAGGCTGCTGTTTTAGGTGTCTATTTAAAAGGCTATGGAAGGCTTCCTAATGTAACTTCTTGGTATGTGGAGCCACAGCTGGTCAGTGCTTGATGACTTGTGTCAAACCCTGGTTCCCACAACCAAGCAGTTAAACTCCAATAAACAGGAAGTAACCAAAAATACCTGAGATGAGCAAAGTCCTTTTTCTTGATGAAGATTTGCTATTCCTCAGGAGTGGCAGTTTAGAAAGCAGTTGAAATACAGAATTACAAAACAAAGCTTAGGAAGAGTGGATTTTAATAAACATCTGATTTTTTTGCAACATGACTCATTTATTCTCTTCACTAAATTATTCTTTGGCACACAGCATGAGACTGCATAAGGTGTGGTTAGGACATTTCAAAGATGCATCCATGTTTACAAGAATATGGCTGCTAGTCTTGTTTCTTGGAAACGAGCTATGTGTAGAAGAGAAAGTTGTCATTAGCTTTTGAGACATCTGTGCATAAATGTGTGTCTGTGTATGTGTGTGTTCATGGGCTCTGGGGAGTGTCCTAAGGTACAGCACATTTAAAAATAGGCCTTTTCTTTATGACACAAGGAAAAAGCTTGATGGTGAAATCTGCGCAAATTATTAATAACTAAAAGTAATCTACATATAAGAATGTTTTCAGATTCACAAGAGATCAAAAATAGCGAAGAATTATCTGCTGTATGTAATCTCTGCTATTCAGTCACGTGGCTAATCTCAGAGAGGGATATGTCAGACAGAAAGGTGGAACGCTACACTGTATTTGGTATCCGTTGCCTTCTTGAGAGCAGTTGGTAAGGCTTCTTCAGTTCATTTTGCTGCACTTAATCCTGTGGAAAAAGAGAGGTCTGAAGCTCCTGCCATCTGGCAGATGTCCTTGAAATACCCAACTGTCTTGTACCAAAGGATGAAGCCTGAATCTTTTCTCACCCTATCTGAGGACCGGGATGTTGTACAGATTCAGCACACAATAGGCCATTTCACACCATCAAAGTCACTCTGTTGTTGTTATTATTAACTCCCATAGGGTTGTTTGTAGCCTTCAGACAATTCTAGCTTTTCTGTGCTTGATGGTATGAATTATTGATGCATTTAACTTAGTGTTCTCACAACTGTATCACACATCACTTTGTTCAATACAGGCTTCTAGCTGTGGTGTAAACCTTCAGAGCAAATTTTAATGTGCAACTTTGTTTAAAAGTATAAATATACACATATACATGAAGTTTGTTTGTTTGCTACAAGGGAATATTGCAGCATAAACTGTCTTAGTTTGTATTAATTACAGACTTGACTGAAAAACAGTAAAATACAGAGATCTGATAAGCTCAAGTCACTGACACACGCTTGATAGAAAAAAGGTCTGTCAAGGGCTTTGGAAGAGCAATGCTGAACATAATCAAAAGCAGTGTAGCTCTCTGGAATGGCACACTCTGATTTAGTAACCCTTGGCATTTACAAATACACATATGTGTTTACCACAGTGGAGGCGACCTATAAATATAGCAGGAAAGAAGTTAGCGTAATAAAACTGGTTTGTGGATTGTTTGTTTTCTTGTTGAGATCTTCTAGAGTAGTTCCTTTCCCTCTCTATTGAAAATTCTTAAAGTAGTAACATTTTCACAGGGGTTTCATTTCACTATATTGTGCTTTTTATGTGATTGCAGAGAAACTAAGTAGTTTTATAGCAAATCTGAATAGATTTAAAGGAGTTATAAGGGGTTGCTCAGTAAGGACTTGCTTGTCTAAGAGTATAAAATGCAAAGATAACAAGAAGATACCTAAAATAAATACCTTTTTGTCAAATTTCATATCATTATGCTCACTTACAAGGAATAAACTGGCTAAAGATGATTACATATAAAACATGGCATTATTTGTGGGGAAAAAGCGTTTTAAAAGAATCACTGAACGAAGAGGGTTATTTTAAAAATAAAAATAATACTTAAATCTTAGTGATTCAGCAGATACTCTCATTTTAAACTAAAAATAATTTCTTGAGGTGTGGACTAACCACTCGTACAAGAATTTAATATGTGCTTTTGAAGGGATTATTAAGTGAAGCTTCTGTGTAGTAAGATTGGGAATATATTCGTAAAATCTTATGACTCTGGTATTTTTTTCGCTTGTACTTCTAAAGCCTCGAATATTCCTAATGCCTGATAAGTTGTGTTGCACTAACTTTGCCACCTGGGGTAGTGCAATGTGGTAACTGGGCACACAGTGCCGTTGCTGGCTGCTAGGCTCATTCCGGAGTCCTGTGTTTGCAGAGGGCAGAGCTCTTGTAACGATCCGATCTGCAAGGGCTGCTAAAATCACTGAATGGGAAATGGATGCAGCAGCTCTGAAATACTGAGTAATGTTTCCTTCATCTGATAACAAGAATTGTGCCTTACGAAAAGAAATACTTTAAGCTCCCGTTATAATGCTGTTTCCAGTTCAAAAGTGATATGCATGTGTGTCTCTCTCTAATCCTCCGAGCTTCTCTCTGTGTATGATTTAGGGTTACATTCCGAAAAGCAAATGGGAGATGGACACTTCTGAGGCAAAGCTAGGTGGGTATTTATTTTTTTCCTGTTTCTTATAGTTGGTATCTGATGATGTTTGCAAAACCTGAATTTTCATTTTTACTGTGCCTCCTTACCAAAGACAAATAAATGTGTTGATCTCATACACGTGTCTGAAACTGCAAAAGCATCTATGCTGAATAGGAAACTGTCTTCTGCCAGAGGCAAGGGAGTTACGACTCTCTAGCCATCACTGTTTTATATACTCATTAATTGTTCTTCCATCTGTTCAAGGAAAGTACTTGGTCTTAAAATTTTTTAAAAAGCAGTATTTCTATTCTTTATTCATCTCTTTTGTATGATAAAAAGCAAAAAGCCAGCTTACATTGCACTGCATTCTTGTTCATACTGCATACCTTCTTTTCAAACCTAGATGTGGTCAGTAACTTCTTACTTTCTTGGAAACGTGCCTAGTAGCTAACTGCGTTAACGAAATTTCTCACTCTCCAAAATTGCCGTATCTGAGGACAAAGTAGTGCCGTGCTCTGAAGTTGGTTCCGAATTATTGGGCCTCAGTGTATCTCTTCAACAACGCAGGCATTGAAAAGTTAGTTTGTTTTTCAGTTCCAGGAGAGTACTGGAATAATTCTTAGTAGGATGCAAAATGGATTTTCCAAGAGCACAAGGGCACTATTTTTGCTGCATTTTTGTTCCGATTAGTGCTGCTGGTTGTATTCGATGTACGTGCTAATATTAGGATTCTGTCAAAGTCAAAAGGAACGTTCAGGCTGAAATGCATGGACCACAGCTATGGTGGAAGGTGTACGCATGGAAAGGGGTTCCTGGTCATTATGATCAGGTTTGGGTTTTTTTAAACGAACAGTAATGATTGTAAGTGAAGATTTTATCAATGCAATCTGCATAAAACTGCTAGTGTCTGTCATGTCTGTGAGAAGTAACAAACATCTGAATGGGACAGAGCATGCCTTAACATTTTGAGGTTTGCTTTTGCATGTGTGGTACAGCCCCGTGTATCGTTACTTTCCAATAACCAAAGTCTCAGTTGCACCACAGAAATGACAGTAGAAGTTCTGGCTTACATAAAGCAGTCTTTCATCTTTTGCTGTTAACTGCGTGGCTGCACCATCTCTGCTGCTGCTGTGCTCTCTTTTAAATCATTTCAATATTGACGTTGTGTCACCCGCAGTACGACTGGAGGAGCTTTGTACTCAATGAGTGCAGCATATCAAACAGCTAGGCGGTTAAAGACAGAATTAATTCAGGGTTGTTCTGCATTTTTGTTCTGAGAGTTGATTGCTTTAATATCTTAAGATTATTTCTTAAGTTTATAATTTTTTTCCCCAATTGTGTAGAAAATCGTAGTACAGGAAAATGGATGTTGAAGAACACCCTGATACACTGTGTTGTATGCTAAATAGCATAGACTCTAAATACTGAGTAGTAGGAACAGATGCATTGCGCTACATACAGTGAACCTTAACTCATCCCATACATTTTACAAATATCACAGGAGTCCAAAGTGTGTTCTAAAAATATTTAAGTTTTATGTGTAGTTTCTAGTAATGTGGAGATTGTGACTGCAGCAGAAATTTACAGATAGCTTTCAAAATTCACCTCTCTCATGATCAAATACTGCTAACAAATGGAAACAAATAACTTGTGTTTCTTTCCATATGATAACTCCATAATACAACACACAGGATTTGTATAAGCTCTCCACTGAAATACAAAATGGGGAGTGAGCAGCAGAGTCGATTTTATGCTAAAATAAGTTCCTTGCAAGGCTGTTTCAATAATCCTTTAACAATCAAACTCCATTAACAAACTGGATGTTAGCATGCTGCAAGACACAGATACAGGTGCTGAGAAAGTCTTTCTATTAAATCTGTATTCACAATTTTACTTTTAAAACCACCCTCTAGATTCATTTTTATAAATATTTGGAACTATAGATTAAAGGTAAATTCTGACAGAACATACATGTTTAAAAAAGCCAGGCATTCCTATGTAATGACTGCTGTTTCTTTGAAAAATGGCTCTGCAAGGGCAGACAACTTTTAGCTCAAGATGTGCATCATAGGCACTTGCAGTCTGCGAGTAAGAATTATTATATTTTAATTAACAATCAGACTTTGTTGTAGGTAACCAATTAAAATGATTTCCTGAAAGGCATGTAAGCTGTGGTATGCATTTGTTAATCCAAAGTTGAGTTACTTCCTGGGAGCTGGCCTGCCCGTTAGGTTTATTGCGCCAGTCCCAGAGGGCACACGTTTGCAGAAGTGATATAAATGCAAAGGCCAAAAACACTGTAAGTCTTGTTTTGCTTTTTTGCTTTCTTTCTGAGTAGACGTTCTTACAGGAAAGCACAATAAGATCTTACTGATCGTAATAAGCCTCAGAAAAGCTCTGCAAAGTTTGAGTTGTGTAGCTGCAAAGCTGACCTGTGGCCGTCACCGTACCCTGTGCCCCAGAGCTCTTGCGTTAGTTCAGATTCACTCTGGCAGGGGGGATGCATTCCTCTGAGTACATGTGTGGTATATCATTTCCTTACGTTTTATGAGTGCACAGTCACATTTTTATTCTAAATCTAATCACTGCTCTGTCTCCGTGCATAGCACACACAGGTTCTTGTATTTACAGAAATGGATTCACATTTTTAAAAATTTAACTATTTTCCAAGTGTTTAGCACAATGCTCTGCTGCAAAGTGTGGCTTAGCGGTGAGTTCTACAAACTTTCAGGGAAGGAGAAATGAGCTCTGGCAAAGCTGGAGTTTTGATAATGTAAAATTTACTCTAGAACACGAATAATGTTTTACTTAAAGCTTTGTAGTTTTTGTATAAGAAGGGTAAAACTTCAGCCGGTTGATTCATTAATTTTTCAAAGGACCGAATGAAGCCAGTTTCTTTCAGACACTTTATTAAAACTCTAAAGGTGAGTTTTTAAGTTCGGTGGGTTTTCAGAAATGCTGCTGCTTCATTGTTTTTAAAATTTAAATGATAGAATGGTGGTTGATAGTTTACACCAAATAATCATCTACCGTAAATATTCATGAGCACTATTGTTACAAAATGACACCTTGTCTCCTTTTCAGAAAACAGTGTTCTGAAATAATGCTTTGTGGTAGGCTTTTGAGATTTCTGTAGTTTGCCTACTGCATAGCACGTGTACTTTGAACCACACTAGTACGGATGGAAGCAGATCTCTCTGGAAAGGATCCAACTTCGCACATGGAAGGAGATAACATTTTAAAACACATTCTCTGTAGCAATAACAAAAAGGGGCAGAGGGGACCCTCATGCTCTGAATGCTTCCTGAGCTCCCCTATGGATCTTGGAGAGCTGCACCGTTCTTGATGATGTTTTCAATTGGTCCATGTGCAGCAGGCAGTGGGAGACCGAACTCTTTTTTTCCGCATTGGTAATGAGATGAGCATCGTAGCGTGTTGCCTTTCAACAGGAATATGTCTGTGTGCAGCTACTTGCCAACAGAGAGCTCCTGAATTTTCATGCTCCTCAGTGCGTCTGTTGCTCTCCTTTACAATGTCGTTTGTTTCTGGAAACCCTTATTCTACAAATAATCTACACTGATTGATCTGAGAATAATACTGAGGAATGGTGCACGTATGTGATGTCCTGGAGTAACAGAGGAGTGCTGTATAAATCCATTTTGTTTTTTAGAGGGAGTGCCGTCTTTCTGTGGAGTTTGAGCTTCAATTCTGCAGATTTAACTTAGAGCAAAGGAAGAACCTTAACTGAATCATGTATCGAGATATCGTGTAACAGATACAAATATTCTGCACTGTTTGCTTAAATGTTGGCTTTTTGAAAAGGCAGAGGGAATTGAAATGGGTTTTTTAGAAGGAATTCTGTATCTGTTCCAGGGAAATAGGGCAAAAGTGGAGTCTTCAAAAATTTTAGAGTGGTATGAGGGAGAAATTACTTCATTAGTTCATGGTATTTAAACTACACTAGCATGTCTACATCATCATTGCCTCACGTTTTCTCCATTGTCGCTCTTTTCTCTTGCATATTTAGCAAAAAACCACCTCTGAACTGACCTTATTTGAATACATACCTTTGAACATTCTCTTCTGCTATCCAGAAAATATGATGCCTTGTATTTGGTTTATTCCTGAGGCCTTTTGTTGGTGAATTTATTTACATCAGTGGCTTCTGAAGCAATGTTACTGATACCGCTGGAAATTGTTTACAGAATATAACTGCCAAGCTTAGTATTCCTTCTGCATGTACCTATTTGCCGGCTTATAAAATGGTAGCATACGTTGACAGAAGTACTAGGGTTTTCTTTGACTTGTAAAGCCGTTTTTCATTTTCATGCTTTGTTGTTTGTAATCTTACAATGAATACTTCATCTCCTTTCCAAAAGCAGTTTGCCACGTAATTTCAAGAAGGTGTTGTTTTTTAACTGCAAATAAGTGTCCAAAGAGGAACAAAATTGTATAACCTAGGAATGGAATTGTTTCTCTTCATGCCTTATTGGTTCAATAAGAAAAAGAAGAAAATGGTGACTATTGGATAAACGTACTGCTCGAATATTTGTGACTGACCTCTTACACCATGAAACAAACGATTCTGAGATATTTTTTTCCTTCCAGTCCTGGAGGACATTTTGGGTGTGTTTTCCTTGTGGGGAGAGAAAAAGAAAGGGGGAGGCGGGATCAGGAGTTCGATGGAGCTTTTTGTTTAGCAGAAACAGTACCTCAGAACTTGTTCTTGATGCATTGAATTATATGATCGTCACTTGTTCCCTGATACTGCATGTATGCCATGTTTGACACAGTATTAAACCCCAAATTTGGGAAAAATGCTTCAGCTTTAGTATTGTGTTCAAATACAGAAAGATGGGTCTGCAGTGCCTAGCTATTAGTGGCTATATTGTACCTGTAAGGACAGACTCCTTGTAGTATGAACATCCAGAAGAACAAGCTTTTTTCCCTCATACAAGTAACAAGACTGAGTGTTATTGCCACACAATTAATGTGAAAGATCAATAAAACTTGAAAATGGTGTTGAGTCTTCTCTAGTTTATTTCAACTCTCATCATTCTTCCTGTCAAGACAAGCTGGATGTACAAGTTCGGCTCCTCATTCTTTTGAAAATGTTTCCACTCTGGTCTTGTTTGTGTGAATAATGGAAAAAAAAATCTCCTTTAACTCTGAGGCTCTGTGTTTGTTCTCAGACAAGCTGGATGGTTTGCGGACTGGCACTAAAAGAAAACGTGACTGGGAAGCAATTGCCAGCAGAATGGAAGATTATCTACAGCTTCCAGATGACTATGATACACGCGCTTCTGAACCTGGAAAGAAAAGGGTAATAAATTTTCAAACGACTTACTGTCTCTATGTGACCTATATATAAACAGTCTCTGTGAAAAAGGGTTTGTATCGAATCCTTCAGTGTCTATGAATATGGCGGTTTTACTGACTCACTTTTCATTTTGCTATTCTAGTAGATTCTGCAAGAGAATGTTTTTGAGAGTAGGGTCTTTTAAGGGTGAACAGATTAATTATAACAAAGTGAGGAATTGTAGATGATAAAGATTAACCTATACATGGCATGTCTTTTGAGATTGAGAGTGGAATCATGTCCCATTTCCTGCTGGGGGAGATAAAGCACTTTGTGATCACTTTTGTGATGAGATAGTGTGATATACAGTGCACATTCCAAGATAAGATGATGATTTTTATTAAGCTTTTGTTGTTAGGTTTTGTAATAAGTAGGCAGAGAAACAGTGCACTGCTCTCATGTTCAAAGTGGTTCAGCTGAAGAAAGTGTATGAGCTATTTAGGTTTTATATCCGTTAAGGCTTGTAGAGGTTACCTCCTGCATATACCTTCCATAAAGCTTAGGAGATGGTATGTAAGAAGTTAACTTCAACCACTTTATATATATATGTAGTTTTGTTCTGAGCACACAATGCTACATCTTCAAATACCATTGTGAAAAACAGGGCAAAAGTAAAATAACAGAGGAAGATGGTAAGATGAACGAGAGGTAGTAGGAAAAGGTTTCCAAAATAGAAAGACCAGCTTTTGCCACTAAAAGTAATTTGAGTTAACTGTTGGTGTTTGGGCTTTGTTCTGTAATGTCAAATAGAAAACATGGGTAGTACTGGCCAGCATGCGTGAGAAGAAATGGAGATATTGGGGTGTTGGCAGAGGAGGTGATGGTGGAAGAAAGTAGATGTTACTTATTTGGCAGGAATGTCTGGGGAAATCCAGGTAGAATGTGGAATAGGGAGGTGCTGGCAGGTGATGAGGCTGTGTCCCCAAGTAGCAAATGAGTCTGAATGGGACTAAGCAAGATGTCAAGGAAGAGCTCCTTCACTTCCCGTTTTTTCTTGTCCTGCAATGGAGTGTTCCAGCTGAGTTTCTGTACTGCAGCCACTCATCATCGCCTCCCTCACTCCCTCCTCACTGTTGCACTCTGCCATCAGTGTCTGGGTTTGTGGGTGAGGGAGTGAAGGCAAGTGATCTGCATGACCATGAAGAGCCACAGGAGGAGATGGCTGCAGCTGCAGAGATGGGAGACAACAAATGCATGACAAAGTTATTTAGTGTAAAGAAACAGTGGAAGGATTTAAATAGAAATGTGTCACAGAAGATAGAGAAGAATCTCTCTCATTCACTTATTCATTGCCAAGTTGCTCCTTTTGTAGTTTCATAGTCATCTTCTAGAGGTTTCCATTGTACAATTTAAAGATAGGTTGTACAGGAAATGAATACACTAAATGAATCTTTGATAATTCTTTCTGCAGAAAGCATTGCTTTGATCAGAGAAATAATTGTAGTAATTCCACTTCAAGTCTCAGAATGACAGTGTTGAAATGAAAAAGGCTAATAATCTGTACCTTTTTTCTACTCTGTGGAACACCTGAGATACTCAATTAGAAATAGTAGTAGTAGTTTCCGTCTTTACCCACTGGAAAACAAAATAATAGAATCATACAGTCATTTAGGTTAGAAAAGACCTTTTAAGATCATAGAGTCCAACCATTAACCTAGCGTTGCCAAGTCCACCGCTAAACCATGTCCCTAAGTGCCACATCTACACATCTTTTAAAAACCTTCAGGGATGGTGACTCCGTCACTTCCCTGGACAGCCTGTTCCAATGCTTGATAACCCTTTTGGTGAGGAGATTTTTCCTAATATTCAATCTAAACCTCACCTGGTGCAGCTTGAGGTCATTTCCTCTTGTATTTCTAGTTACTTGGGAGAAGAGACTGACACCCATCTTGCCACAACCTCCTTTCGGGTAGCTCTAGAGTGATAAGGTCTCCCCTGAGCCTCCTTTTCTCCAGAATAAACAGCCTCAGTTCCCTCAGCTGTTTCTCATAGGACTTGTGCTCCAGACCCTTCACCAGCTTCATTGCCCTTCTTTGTACATGTTCCAGCACTTCAATGTCTGTCTTTTCAACCTGTTGGAATGAAAATTAATACAAATTAGAGTTCTTGTACTGTTATCTGCAGTGGAAAGCCTAGATGTGTCTCAGGATTTCTTAAGAGATTGTCCTACTGATAGTCTGTTCTCCACAGGTGCGGTGGGCAGATCTAGAAGAAAAAAAAGATGCAGACAGGAAAAGGGCCATTGGTTTTGTTGTCGGACAAACAGACTGGGAGAAGATAACAGATGAAAGTGGTCATCTTGCTGAGAGAGCCCTCAACCGCACCAAGTATATATGAAAAGAGGTTAAATGGAATTTTGTGCCTTTAAGGTAAATATTCAGTCTTCTTGCACGTTTATAGCCTTGATGTGTTTTAGGGGTTTTCTTAAGAGTTGAAGTTGCAGTTCGTATGATTGTTAGAATTCTCCCATATGAAATTGATTTGGAGTCTTGTATGGTAGATGTCAGCTGTGCCCGTGTCAACGTGCACCCTCCTGTACAGCATCTAAAACTAAAGGGGGAAGGCTTGTCAGCTATCAGTCTCCAAACCTTATTAATAGGAAGATTGTTTTCATTAAAAGAGTAGTTTAGCTGGGTGCCTAGTCCTGTTTAGTTCAGATTTTGCTTACTATACTTTAACTCTGACCACGTTAATTGCTGTGTTACTTGATGTAACAAACTTTTCCTTTCTTTACAGGCCATTTGCTCTGAGGAGAAGTGAACCAAGGTGTCATGAGCATCTTGCATGGGTTATGTCACTCCCACCTTCACAGTTTTTTCTTTTATTACTTTAGTTTCAGCAGTTTTATTGAGATGTTGGCAGATAACCAGTGCCCTCAAAAAAAAAAGAATCCCGCTGCTCCTGAGTGAGAGAAACAGTTTACTTTTTGATATTTTTGGAGGGGAGGGAGGGGGAGGGCCAGTAGTTTTAGCTGCTGTTTGTGGGATAAAGTGGATTAATTAGACAGACGTTACCTCCACTGTACTGTCTCAGAATGTTTATCACCTTTGCTTTGTGGCTGTTCTCGTTTTATACTGTATGTACCTTGTAGCTTATTGTATTAGGAAGCTGAACAATAAATTTCACTATAAACTCGGTGTTCTTGGTGGACCATATAACATGGCTTTTGTTTGACATTTTAAATGTGGTCTGTGTTCACGTGTTGGCAGTGCTCAGAGCCGTCCTTATGTGGAAGAGGTGCTGTGCTCATACTCTGGAATGTGTCCTGTCTTCTAGGTTTATCACCTCCTCTTCTCAGACAGCTCCGTGAAGGCCCCAGGTTTTGCAGGCCTTTAGGAGTCATATCATTCTCAATCTTCCTGGAGAGCAGGAATTACCATTATTTTTTGGATCCTAGTTTCTCAGTTATATCAAATTTCCATTACTACGTGAGTATAAATTCTGCTGGATAGCTCTGAAATACTCAAGGTAGTAATGTATGAAAAACACTTCTTTAATGCTGAACTTTAAAACAGGTACTACGGAGTTCTCTGGAGGACAGCCTAGAAAATTTTGATCTTACTGTATCATTTAGTCAACACTAATCCCTATCAGGGTATTTCATTCCATGCAGAAGTCTACTGTCTCGTAGACAAACGTCATTATAAGCAGCAGCAAAGACCAGAAGTTATACCCTTCTATTCCTTTAATAAATGTGTTTAGCTTGCTAAAAAAGATAAATGAATAGCAGTCCACACTATTAAAAGTGGTACAAGTTCTTCATAGATGCTGGTATATCACTTCTGCACAGCATCAGGTTTGCTTATGAAAACTTGCTTTTGTGTTCTCAGGTTTTGAAGCAAACACCTTGTGTTAAGAGTGTTGTAACCAGGCATGGGGTTGAAATGCAGAAATAATTGCTGGTTTACTGTTGAGTTGAATTTTTTCACCTGACCTTTCTGAGGGAAGAAAATGAAGTCCAGAATTTCTTTCTCTGTTATTCTTTGTTGCTCTGTCGAGTGATTACATTGCAGTTTGCATCTAGGCTGGTAAATGAACGAGTTCTGGTGTGGTGGTAGTTCACGCTGTCAAAGGAGAGCCATGGCGCTAATAGACGGCTTTGTTTGCCATTCCAGTGTTTTGGTTTATTGGACGTTTCTCAGCCTTGTCTGTGGCGCATGATCAAAGCTCTTTGGTAAACGAGGGGGACAGCTGAATTTTGTTATGCCCTGAATGTGTTTAGTACAAGAAAATCAAGCTCCCTAAATGCAGCGTTTTTAAAATGGAAGGTAATAAATATGCATTTTCTGTGTACACACGCTATTATGTGGCATATATACTTTTTTTAAGAAATGTTGCTAAATACTTTTTGAATTCTGACTGAGAATTGTTAATGAAATGAAATGGTTAACAAGAAATCAGTATTGTATATTGCTGTGGGAATCAGGCAGGTTTTGCTTTGGAGAAGTTACCCTCTCAGGTACGTGTAAAATGGGTTTCAGTCTGTTGTCAGTTGTCCATGACAAAACTGGAGTTCTTGTGGCTCACCACTGTTACAAGTTGATGCTGTTTCCTGACTTTAAAGCACTGATAATTGATTTGTCTGTATTCATGGTAATACACCTGAACCAGATCCTTTTCTAACATTTTCCTTTCCAGGCTAAGTAGTACTTGTATAGCGTGTGACAGAACTGATCATACTGTGTACTGCTTTTAACAATTTTGAAGACTTTTTTAGCAGATAACACCCAGAGGGGTCACACTGTTTATTCTGTGGTGCCTGTAGAATTAGAGAGAGGTGAGTGAAGAATACACAAAGTTACACTTTGATGAGAACATAGAGAAAATGTATCAATGTTCAAGTTTAGGGCAAAAGCTCAGTTACAAAAACACGCTGCTGCAGACTGTTTGTTAGACTGTTTGATTAGAACAGGCTGAAGGGCGTGGGTTTTGTTGTCGTTTTCCTGATTCCCTGAAGTTCATGACCTTTTCCATTTCCATAGTCACTCCCTAATCTTTGCCATTTCTTCCAGTTGGTCTGAATGTCTAGCAGGGCAGTCTTCATCTGCGTGATGGGAAGTGACTTTCAAAGAAAATAACATGGCAGAACTACAACCTGTAATAGATTTTACGTACTCCAGTCCTTTAGAAAGTGAAGAAATCAAGCAAAAAGCCAAAATTCACCATTGCTGCTGGCAGAAGTGAGAGTAGCTAGATAGTCCATGCTTGGCTTGTAGTCAGAGGTTGGTGATGGTGATTTTGCTTATGTCTGGAAAATCCTTCACTACAGAATCCAGTATATTTTGGTCCTGATTTAGGTCTTACTCATCATCTGCTCACTGATATTTGCAGTAGAATCTTCCACAGCATTGAACATTAGGAATACCCACTTTCATTCGTAGCTAAATAGGAAAATATGCATCCAGCGCTCTTGGCTAATGATCCATCTTTCACCATGCATGCTGTTGCTTTACCTCTGTTTTACTGTTTCTGTGCGGTGCATCACATTTCAAAATACAGCTCTGAAATAATCATCAACTGCAGCAGAATGGAGTGCTGCCTCTTGAGCAAAGTTGAGTGTTAAAACGGTGAATTTTCTGTGAATTAAAGCTTCTTATGTTTCTTGTGTTTTACTGTAGCTCATTAAGCGTGATGGTCTGACTATAGTATGAAAGAGTGAAAATATAGCATAGAATACTGTGTCTGTTCTGGAAATGTCATGGTTTTCTTTTTCTTGAACATTTACATCAGCATAGAAGTACGACTTACCTTGCATTATTAGTTCTCAGCCTCTAGAAGGGAAGAACTGGTGTGGGTACAAGTCAGAGTTTCACTTTTCACCTAGTGTGTTGGGTTTGGTATTTTTTGGACTTTACTTCAGTCATCTTTCTGAACCTTGCCCATTAATCGTTCCTTGCCTGTCTGTTGGTAAACGAAATACATTTCTGATATTGTCTGTTTGTAAGGTATTGATTGTTTTAACTGTCTTCTGAAGCCTTTTAACCTCTGAACAACCACTTAGATACTATGGAGATCCTGAGTAGGATTTCAGTAGTGGCTTTTATGAAAGGATTGAATTGGAAAAGTAGAGTTGTACTATTATACTGAAACAAATATATTAATCTATCTCCAAAAAGCCCACATCTAATCCAGTTAAATAGTTTAAATCGTTAATAAGAGTTAAGAATAGTTTAAAATGATGAAGAATCATGACTTGCAAGTCACATTAGAAAGTGTGCTTCCTGCAGAAGAACAGTCTGTCCTTAGTGCGCTTTTCAGTGAGAGGGAAGAGCATGACCTTGCCAGACACAATCAGTTTTTCCCAATTTGATATTTCAGCATCATTGGAACACTGAGAATCCTTTTCAGAGGAGTGAAGTAATTCAGCCTGTGGGACAGCTTGTTGCCACCTGAACAAATTTATTGTTACCAGAAGAAAAAATTACTAATTGTCTGTTTATTTAATGCAGCTGTCATGGTGAATAGTTTCATGCCCTTTGGACACAATTTCCCTTAGCAGATTATCCCATTTTATTATTAACGTTGCTGCCACAAAATTTTGGAAATTCACACAATATTGGACAGACCTCAGGACTTGAAGAAAACACGGTTGGAGGCAAGTCGTGCATTTTGCCATGAAGTTCCCAGTGTCTCTGCCAGCGTGCAGCCAGCTGTGAGCTGACTGACCTGAAACCCGGCAGCCCTCTTGGAGTGCTGTACCTCAGCATATGTGGACTGGAAAGGGGACGCAGTGCTGAGAGGTTTTGCTTTGCCTGTGGAACATTCACATGGTGTCCGTGCTCAGGAAGCCAAATGCCAATGGGTACGTGGTTCCTTCTCATTATGCCTCTCTTTGTTATTTAATGTTACCCAGAAGTAATCTGGGGGTCTCACTACTGAACTCAAGATCCACTGACAATTTGGAATCTGCCAGGACAACCTGAATACTATGAGGTAATGTATTTGAGGAGCAGAAGTGGCCATCTCAGTTGGGATCTGTGTGTTTGCAGCGTGAACTATAAGAGGGTAAAAAGAAATTTGAGTTCCTACAATGTGGCAATGTAAGACTGATTATACTTGGTTTTCTTATTGTAGTAGAAATGAGATAGAACAGAAATTTCCTACAATTTAAAATATGAGTGGCACAGTTTTCTTTCTGTTTTGAGTCTCTAAGGCAATCATCTTTATTCTCTCATAAAACTTGAATCAAAGTTGTTTACTCCTGCTCATCCGTTCTTAAGATGTTAGTCAGAATCCTTCAGTGAACTAAAGGAACACTGAGTAACTCTTCTGATTTCTACTAAAGATTAATCGCTTTCTTCTCATGGTGAAGCTGTTTTGTTTCATTTTCACCAGTGCAGTGTTCCAGCGATTGCAAGGTCTCTTTCTACCACTTCCAGATTTGCCTGGAACTGGATCTGCAGCCTGGAGCCTTTAGTCTTCCTCATGCATTTAGGTTGGAAAAGTAGTAATGACAATATTTCATTCAGGTGAATTACCACTTTCCAGCTGATTAATACTGTTTGGAAGTAGAGTGTACTCATTTATTTATGGTTAAATGGTAAAACCAGGTAAGCACAAGTGCTGTTACTAAACGAGAAGTATAGCAAGTTACTGGAAATAGAGAGACAAAAGTGTTTTGAAGTTGCTTATGTTTTCCATTCTGTGTTAGGTTTCTAGTCAGGAGGCTGTGGTCTCTGAATTGCAGGATTTAAGACTTGAATATGCAAAACCTTAAAGCTGCTTGTGTGGAAATGGCACAAGTTCATTTCTTTCTACTGTTTTTCTGACGTGCGTACCTCTCCGATGGAATCTCTTAGGGAGGGGAGGCCTTTCGCTAGGGCTTGTGCTCTATGGACTGTCAGTCATTCAAATGTTTTTCCGTATTGCTTCCCTTGCATGTGCGTACTGGGAGAAAGTTTGTTTCCTTATCTGGTCGAGATAAGAGTGTATGAATGGTTTGGCTGTACACAAGAAATTTCTGATGCTCCTCATCAGGATGCCACCTGAACTACCCGCTGGAAGCGCTGTATTAATGTGTGAAGTTGCTGTGTTTGAGTAGTTGGTACTCTCGGGAGTACATGAAGACTGCAAGGTTGTTATCGCTTCACCAGTTCCTGCGATGTTGCTGTCTTTGGAGAGAGAAAATAAATGCGGT